GTTTTACAATAAATGATACATTGATCATAATGAATTAATTTGTGTCAAGATTGTAAATTAGTCACACAGAAATAAAAATGGTATTTACTATAGAACACACATATTCAGTCACGCCTGTTTCTGTTTATTTGTAGTCACAGACAGTATTTTTAGGTCTACATCACATTGAAGAATCATTTCTATAATTTTTCCATCAAAAATACAACCTAGTTTTAGCACTCTCTCCAGTCCCAATACACTGTTATATTTTCAGTCATAGAAACAGGGAACTCCTGAACAAAAACTATGATATATTATGATGTATTTTATGACATACACGGAGGCGCTAAATATGAATATCAGACAGTCAAGTAAAAAGAGAGGAGACTTATTGACAAATAAAATATGTACCCAAATAAATTCACGATTGTGATAGCCTGTATGATTTTTCTGTTTTCTTCAAACGGTTGTATTTACCATGTTGTTTACTATGGTAATGGTTAGCGTACATATTCTTTTGCATCGCATATAAATATTTCTGCCTTGTATGGTGACCATAATCCACATCGGATCTCAAACAGGAGTTATTTCAAACTCTCGCTGCTATCTCAAAGTGAGTTTTGAGCTAAAATTATTTTAAAAGTCTTTAAAGGGGTCATATGATGCGATTTCAATTTTTTCTTTCTCTTTGGAGTGTTACAAGTTCTTGGTGCATATCCGCTCACTCAGCCCGCCGGCCTCTGCTCACTCTAGGCCTCCAGCCTCCACTCACTCAGCCTGCCGGCCGTTCCTCACTCTAGCCCGCCGTGTGTGACGCTGTTTCTCGTTGTGAAAGCACCTTGCTTTTCAGAACGATGAGCTTTGTAAATATCGACGCGTTTCAGGAAGGCGTGGCATAGAGGAGAAACAATAATGTACAGTATGTGGAAAATAATGTGTTTTTTTAACCTTAACCCTTTAAAGTCTGAATGTTCACCTTTCATGGTGTCACTGAAACATTTGCATTCTAAATTACAATAAGACTTCTTTCTTGCATTTATTTGCATATACTGAATTGTGATTGGTCTTGTCTTTCATCAAGGTTACCATCTATAATCGTCCTTATGTGGACAGAAAACAGGACATGCTGAGTGTTGGGACAACAGTAAAGTATTGTTTTTCTGCCTTGTACAGCACTGGTATTTGCTTCATGAGAAGCAAAGCTATAGCTGCTATTGTTGTTTATGTAATAAATAAATGTATTCTTTTCACAAGGTCTAACAGCAAAGATGGTGCTATAAGAAGTACAGCAGGTGGGATTTTGCAACAACACAGAATTGCAAGAACGTCTCAGTCCTAAAAGTGGTTCTGATCACAAAAGGTTTTGCTGTTGAATCTTAGGCCTGCAGGAAACATTCACTCTCCATCTTCCAGTCACACTCTCCATTCAGTGTACACTCTCCATCCTTGGCCTTGATTGCCCTTGCTGAAAATACTTGCTGCCTGAAGCCCTCAACACAAAAACATGTCCTTGTCCCAAACTATTAGCATTTTTTGGCAAGCATGTGTAATCCAGCACACCTCAGCATTAGATGTTTTAACAGATTTCAACCTTTTTGGTATATGAAATCCACTCTATCACTCTCCATTGTCAAAATTTAAATTGTAACATTTAAAATCTAATGTAATTTAATCAATATATAGTTAAATCAATTAGGGCTGCACGATAAAGGTACGATAAAGGCGATAAATCGCGATTGGGCAGAAGCTGTGATTGTCATGCGTATCTTTCAGTGAAGCAAGGTTCTGTGATCAGCAGTAAATCTCCATCCGAAGGCCAGAGGGCGCTCTCGCGCGGAAACTCCAAATACGCAGAAAAAACCCAGGAAATGCCTATAGCGGTTGCTGAATAAACAGAAGATTTAACTGCTTTCATTAATTCAACGTGACTAATAAACACACGACTACGACAATATATGGTTTATCTGAGTTCGTCTTATTATAATTTTTATTATAATAAAGTATATAATAATGCAATGCTAATCAACATAGCCTTTATCACTGCTTAGAATACTATGAAATATGTTGCGTGCCTTATTCTGTGTAAGAAGCCACATCATCTCACAGAAGGATTTATTTCAAACACTCGACTGATGTTATGAAGTGAGTTTGGAGTAAAAACATGTTATTAAATGTGGTATTTTCACGTGCTTTCAGATGGAGCAGCATTTGCTACACAGAGCCGTAGTTCACTGACAAGCTACGCAAACAGCTTTCATAATCGCAGAACGATTTTTTCAATTTCATAATCGTGCGATTAAATCGCCTGCGATTATGAACGCGATTTTGCGTTGCTTGTCAGTGAACTACGGCTCTGTGTAGCAAATGCTGCTCCATCTGAAAGCACGTGCTGGAGATTTACTACTAATCACAGAACCGGCTTTACTGACAAGATACGCATGACAATCCCATTTGATTAATCGTGCAGCCCTAAAATCAAACACATTTGTGCACTTTCTGTGTACTTCTTCAGTACTTCAAGCAAACAATATCAAATTAGACTAATGTAATAATGGCATGAATTCACATTCACACACAGAAAAATCAGATTTATGAATAGCGATTTCACTTGCATAAGGCTGTTTTTGAGGAGACAGCATTCAGGTTACTCTATTTCCCTTCTACATTTAAAAATACACACATTATCTCTTCCTCATAGATTCTGCTCAATTTCCGTTCAGCTCTTCCATCTTTGCCCTCTCATCCATTTATTTCTCGTCTATAGCCGGGCCTAAAACTTACAACAGCACTGAACTTTCAGCCTTGGCCAGCAGCTAGACTGAACCGTCAATACTCCTCCACTCGCTCTGACTAATCTAATAGTGTTATTTTTCTGTAGTGGAAAGCGCTGCGGGGTCATTAGACTTGTGAGATGGGAAAAAAGCCAACAATCAGGAAATAGCTGCAGGAACTCTTGCCCTCTGTGGCATCTCAACAGCTGTCCATCTCTTTAAACAGACGGACCACAGAATAATGCTAGCCACAGGCGGGAAAGCAGAGGGGGTGAAGGGTGTTAAAGAAAGAGAGCTTGGAAAGAAACAGGAGGGAGAGGGGAGGATGAATAAAAGATGAAAGAGTGGGATAGAGGAGAAAGAGA